GCCCATGACCGAGCGGCCGACTTTTCAGAGGGGGGGTGACACCAAAATGACTGTGATTCATTTTGGTGTCACCCCTCCAATGGTGGCACCCGGGTGCGGGCTCCCCCCCCCTTGTGACGCCACTGGCTATTGGTCCTCTCTGGTGAAAAGGGCCACTATTTCCTGATCCCCCCGGGGTGCGAGGCTCCTGACAGGGACAAGAAAGACTTAGGTCCACCTACCCGAAGGCTGGTGGACCCCGATCCTTTAGGCACCTGCCGAAACAGGTCCACCGAGCACTAGGTTGGGAGCTCCTCCGAAGGGAGACCCCCGAGTGGGAGGAGGCAGGGGGCCCCAGTAAAGGTCACAGAACCTCCTTCCCAACTTCAAGAACAGGCCTCCAAGGTGCGCGCACCCTCCGTCATTATGCGAAATCAAGAAGTGCATTCGCGCATAAAAAGAATGCTGAAATAAAATAACTGCCGGTGCACAAACCTGGTCAAGTTATAACAATTGCCCCAGGCTAGCCAGAAGGCCTGCCTAAGAGGCGTGCTGCATGAGTGACCGTGACCAGTGTCCCAAACCCAAGTGATTTTCCGGCACACCCTGAGATGCCGCCCCCAGGGGGCACAGTACCACAGGCTTCGTGCCTTCCCAGCCCATGGCCAGGTAAGGTAGACCATTTGAATCCGGAGGTACTGGGCCCTGCCAGAACCCAGCGCCGAGGAGTACTCCCGACCCCCCACTCTTAGACTTGAGTGGACGCTCATAACTTGGCGGGGGGCGGACACTATCGCCGATGCCGCCGCCGCTTGATTTAATACAAGGGATCTACTTAGATCGCTTGTATTAAACGAACAGCGGCTCCCACTGTACATTCAGCTCTGCTTGTCAGGAGCAGGGCTGAATGAACAAAAAGAAACTACTCGTACGGCACCCGAAACTGCATGTCCCGGGTCAGGACCGGATTCCCCACAAGGCCACCGAGCCCCGGCGTCCGGGCGGCAGGGCGCAGAGGGGCGGCAGCGGTGTCCTTGTGGGGAAGTTGCCCTCTCTACGTTCAGTCCTGCTTTGTACAAGCCAAGCTAAATGTAGAGTGAGGAAGCCGATTGTTCGTTTCCATGGAAACTCAGCGATGTCGCCGAGATCACATGTAAACAGTGTGCAGCCTCCTCCCCCTTCCCCCTACACTTACCTCTCTTCGTTGGTTCCGTCCTCCGCCGCCAAGTTCCGAGTCTCTGACTGCAGTGAGCAGAGCGGCCGGGTTATAAGTAACCCTATCGCTCCGTGTAGACAGTGAGAGGGGAGAGCTGTGCCGTGCTGTGCCGTGCTGTGCTGTGCCGTGCTGTGCCGTGCCGTGCTGTGCCGTGCCGTGCTGTGCCGTGCTCTTCCTCTCTCACCTGTCACAGGAGTTCCAGCACAGTGCTGTGCTAGAACTCCTAGGGGGGGGGTGCATCGCAGAACCTGGCCTTGGGGCGGCAGGGAGAGTAAATCCAGCCCTGGTCCCGTGCGTCAGGAGATTCCACACCCTGCCGTGCCTCGGTGGCCTTGTGGGAAATCCGGCCCTGCTCACAGCGCCCTCCCCCCACAGCGCTCAGCTCCTGACAGTTTCTCTCCTCCCTGCTGGAGGGGTGCCCCGTGTCAGGAGGGACACAGAGCAGCGCACAGCGGAGAGGAGAGAAATCACGGATGCACCACAACTTCGGCCCGAAAGATGGAACTTTCGGCCTTTTCGGCAGCCGAAATTTCAGTGCATCCCCAGTTTTAACCCCTGTCAGCTTTATTTACATCTATGTCATATTGGGGAGATTTCTTTTCACTTCCTGTCCATCAGTCAAAACAGGAAGTGAGAGGACATCTCTCTCCGAAGTGATGAAATCCCTGGTGGTCACCAGAAATAGTGTCCCCCCCATTGGAAGATTTCACATCTATTCCTGTTCTGGTGACAACCCAAATTTTGGATTTTCTCTCACTTTCGGTGATAACAGTCAGTAGGAGAAATAGAAAGGGGTGAATCTCCCTAACGGGGACACAGGCAGCAATAAAACCCTGACAGGGGGTCTAATCCCTCTCCACTCTATCCAAATGAATAAAAAACGTTTTGGCTTCAGTTGCTTTCTGGGTAGCCCGGGGCAATTTTTATACCTTGGCCGGATGGCCTGCCAGGTTTGTGCACTGGCACCTATTTATTTTAAGCTCTTTTTTTATGCACGTCTGAGCTCTGACGTAGGGTGCGGGTAACTTCGGGGCCCGTCCTGATGTTGGGGGGAGGTTCTGTGGCCCTCAGGGGCTTCTCTGCCTTAGTCTCTCGTTGGGGGAGCCCCTTACCTAGTACTTGTGGGTCCTACTTTGGTAGGGGCCTGAGGATCAAGACCCCCTGGCCTTTGGGTGGGTGGACCAGAGTCTCCTTGCCCCGCCAGGAGCCTTGCGCCCCGGGGGGTACAGGAATTTCGAGGCAGCCTTCTCCCCTCCCCCCTGCACTTACCTCTCTCCTCTGGTTCCGGGCTCCGCCGCCGAGTCCATGACTGCAGTGAGCAGAGCGGCCGGGTTATAAGTAACCCTGCCGCTCCGCGTAGACAGTGAGAGGGGAGAGCTGTGCTGTGCCGTGCTGTGCTGTGCTGCGCTGTTCCTCTCTCACCTGTCACTGTGCTAGAACTCCTGTATTGGAGGTGACAGGGGTCAATAAAGAGAACCTGTCACCTCCAATTGCTATTACACAGGGGATTGTTTTCTCCTGTGTGATAGCAATAAAGTTAGGTGAACAAAAAAAAATTTAATTGATACAAAATTTAAATAAATTAAAATTTTAAAAAAATATGAAATAATTAAATTAAAAAAATAAAAAGGTAATTAAAAAGTAAAAAAGAAACAAACTTA